AACAGTACAAGTCTAGATAGCAGCTAAAGTTGCAGACCTAAGAGCAATGCAAAGTAAAGCAAACACAAGATAGAGCTGGAATGATGATTGGCAGAGAAGTGATGACTCTACGGCTGGAAATGAAAGTGCTATGAACAATTAGCCACCTCTGACCCAGGAAAACATTGACTTCATGCAGCAGCACAAAACTGATTGCAGATGGTATTGGGGAGGGAGCATCGAGCTATTCACTGTGCTTTCCCCCATCAGAAAAATTCATTTCCTCTCTACTGTTGAGCAATGAAATGTACCTGATTGGATCTGCTGAGACAGCTTCACAAAGAAGATTTGCAATGAAGAGTGAAAAAGCCCATGTGGTGATGCCAAAGGTAATCCTATTAAAACAGTAGGCTAGAGGGGAAAATGTACATCTATCTCCTAATTTAATAAGGAATTAAAATAAATCTCTTAAAGGAACAAATTTATTTGAACCTTTCGTTGAAATCTTACCATCACTGTTGCTGAATGGGATGCTGGATATCAGTTCATGACCAGGGCCGTTTCTCATCCCCTACAGCTCCTCCTATTCATTCCTATTGCTCTTCACTTCTTCCCTCTCTACCAACTGCTTCCTCCACACACCTGCAGTCCCCTCTCCGTGTGATACACACCCTTGCTGAGGGCCAGCTCTTGTCCAGCCCTGCCTGCTCATGGGTCTCACCTTTACACGGCTGACAGCTTCAGTTGGGAACCTCAGAACTTCCTGGCCACTGTAATTCACTTCCTACAGCCATGACTTCAACGCTTAAGAGGGAGAAAAAGCAAAGACACGTGCTTACAGTAGGCTGAGATACCTGTCTGCTGTGTGCTCTTCTCAAACACCTTCACCTGTCCTCAGCTGACATCAGAAGAGTGAGGCATCTCCAGCTGCAGAGAAGTCTACCTGAAGATAAAGAACAACATCCGTACCCCCCATTGAATGCTGCCTCGGAACAAATGAGTTTAACACTGGCTTTCCAGGGCCATTAGAAATGAAGTCTGAAGGCTGTAGAGCTGGCCAGAATTGCATTGATCTTGCAATGTGTAATGTTTTCATACCAGTTCTGTTATTAACATGTAAACCCACTGTGTATCCTGCAGGACTCAAGTGTCTGTAATTGTAAGGGACTGATGGAAGTGCTGTGAAATGCCACTGCGGGAAGGGCCTTTGGAAGAGCACTGTTGGATGTATGTTGGATGTTTGGAATGTGCCCAAGTCCCAGTGGGCGAGGTGCTGCCAAGGGAGCCAGAGCAGGCTTTGGGAAACCTGCTGCCTCCGTAACGATGAGCAAATCCCACCCGTCCAGCTCACACTGAGCTACTGAGACCTGGCTTCATCTGCTCCTGTACTGTGGTGGCTTTTTCCGACAGTTAATATTTTTCTGTATTATGAAAAATGCTTTTAAATGGAATTGAAAAGGAAATGAATGCAATCATGTATGCGTGTACAGTTTTCAGTATTTAATGTGGTGGGCAGCAGGCTTGAAACTGATGTCAAAAGGCTGAAAGTAACCATTTTTGAAAGCACTGACTTCAAGGTGGCTATGGAATGCCAGCATAACGTGCCCTAGGAAGTGGCCTGGCTTTTTTTCCTTTCTTCATTCCTGTTTTGAAAGAGCCTTGAACCCCTCTGTTGCTGACAAAGGTGGGCTCAGCAGCCGTGTGTTCAACACTCAAGAAAATCAGGCCCTTTACTTAAAGACTTGATTCTTGGTAGAAGAGCTTCATCTTAGGCACCTGAGCTTTGAAATCCTGGTTGTAGGCACTTTTTCCAGGAATATCTCTATACATCTGCAATACGAAAACATCACTTAAATAACTGCAGGTCTGCGAGCACTATTTAATCTTTAGGCTGGGAGATACTGCAGCTGTGAACTTCTTCATGGCTTTTTCCCTTTACACTTTACATTCTCAGTGACTGAATGTGTTTTCTGTGCGTACTGAGAACCCAGACTGAGCAGATGCCACTGGAACTGCTGTGTCAGAGCTGGGAGCAGACAGTGCTTTAGCAAAAAGAGAATGGGAAATGAAACAGGACACCTGAGTTCTTGCTGGGAATATTTCCTCAGTAAAACCAAGCGAAAAGCTGTTTCTTGAGCCCATCTGGATAACCCTGAATGCATCCAGCAGTGGAATAAAATGTGGATCACAGTGCAGAGAAAAGGACTCCCCATCTCTGGGGGGACTCTAAGAGCATTGCAGAAAGGCAGCCTTGTGGTACGATGGAAGAGGGTAGGTGGGTATGAGCATGGAAGCGGTGATTGATGAAAAATACAGTTCTTTTTGTAGTAAACATAGCAGTCTGGTTGTCGTGTTAGGAATGACGAGAGACAGTTCACCTAAAGGATGGCTGATGGAAGCTTGATAGTCTTCAAGCAGTATCATATCCTAGAAAAGTATGTTTGTGATCTGATTTTTAAAGCCTCTGCAAGCAATCTCTTTCAGCCATCCTTTTAGTTAACCTGAGTAACCTCAGATAACTCAATGGGAATTGCATAGTAAGCTCCTCAGCAAGGGAATTCTTTGTCCCCTTGTCTGCTGGAAGTGGTGGAGGACAGAGCCGCTTGCCTCACCTGTAAAGGGAGGAGCCGTAGCTAAAATGCAGAAAAATAACAGAAGTAAAAGCCCTCTCCCCTTACATTACAAGGAAAAGCATTTGAAAAGATGGAATTGAACTAGTCAGCATGATCCTGCTAAGATCTAGGCACTGACTTCCACAAAGGAGATAAGAGTAGGAGTAGGAACGAGTTTGTCACGGGCTTTATGTATATCTACAGAACACCATTTGGCAGCTCTTGCTCATATGTCAAATGTGTGTTTCTGCACTATTCCAGAGACAGTTTCTGATTATTATTTTTGTTAAGAATATTTTAATGCTGACTTAACAAAAGTGATAAACAGATCATCTGTTTGCAGGGAAATCATGAACATAGCCAGAGAGAAGTGCTAGCAAGCTGCTTAAATCTTACCATAGCTGAATGATGGGAAACACAAGGCTCAAGATCTTGGCCTGTCTGCCTGTGTTTCAAGCAATCAGCTGTGGTGCTGGGGGCATCTGGTTTGCAGCTGTCAATGATTTTAGCAATCACAAACTTTATTTCTTGAGTTTAGCAACAGGGGTAGAATCTTTTGATTCTGTTACTAAGCCTCTGAGCTTGGTAAATCCAACCTCAACACCTTTCATAGCATCAGGTTACCCTATGAAAGGAATTCTTTACTAAAACCAAATCATAACCTAACGCCAATATCCCCAGACAATTTCGGAATTAGGCTGCACATAACAGGCACGTCACATACTGGGTACAAGAGCTTGAAAGCACAGTGGTTCTCTTGCATATAGCTTCTGAGAAATCCTGATTAAAGGCTAAGGGATCTGGTGCTGCTGTCACCAGCAAGTATCACAGAATTCAACACAATCGAATAATGTTATGGCCTCAAATACTGATGTGGACTTGTCAGAACTCTTCCACCAGGTTCTAGGCATGGAGGGATGTAACTGTAAATGGTATCTAGTAAAGGTGCTGCTGGACAATATATTCTGTTGGTGAACTTCACCTCATCTTAGGATTCAACTTCTTGACAAAGCAGCTGTGTGCCAGAGCCACGTGCGTATCTCAGACACACACGTGGCACAGTACTGGTGTCCCAGCTCAACCCCAGGCTCCTGTGAGTCCGACCTCAAGTGTGCAGTGAGTCGAGGCCTTGAAGAATGGTTTTGGTGCTCCCAAATTCATCTTACAGCCAGGCAAAGAGAATTGTTCTCCCCCTTGCTGGAAGACAAATTCTACCAATTTCACCAGCTCTGCTGACTATAAGCAAGAGGTTTTAATCCAGGCATTGCTACCAGCCCAAAAGATAGCCTGAAAAATGTTAAGACAAGCACTTAGCACCCCTACAAGCTCATGTGTCCATATCCAACAGTACAAATCCCTTGCTGGGCACGGACTCTCTGGCACCACATGAATTTCCAAAAAGTCAGTGGTATAATGGCTTTGGCCAGTTTTTACAAGCAGAAAAAGTTGCTCAGCCCTTCAGAACACCAACTTCCCTTTTTCAGACGAGTCTTACACTCTTACTGAGCATCACTACAAAGCTGCTCTGTTATTTCCCATCCTGGCATGAGCTCTGGCCACATTTCACTACCTGGGTTTAAGTCAGGTTTCAGAATCTTCAAATGAGGGGGAAAGAAGGAGAAACAAAATCCTACAGTTGCTAAGTTCCACTCATTTAATGACATCAGACATTCACAGTTGTGACAGGAATATTGTGCTGTATGATCTTTATGGTTCACTGGGAGAACCCACCAAGATTCAGAACACTTCACAATTCACTTGCTAATATCTTCCTCAAGCTTTGGCTTTAAGGTGCTGCTGGGAACATCAAACAATGGAAGCTGACTACACTAATCATAACCTGTCTGGCTTCTGGTGCGATACTGTGATAAAAGATACCACATCCCAAGGCTTCTGCACTTTAGAGATGAGATCTCAAATGCATGGTTATATTTAAGTGGTGTTACAGATACTACTGTTCATCCATAAGAGGAGATACTTACCCAAGGCCTGAGGATATGCTGGAGAACCTCAAAGGATTAGAAAGAGGCTGTCAACATATTACATATATGATCACATCCCTCCCCTCTGGAATCTGACACTGACTTTGACAGTTTCTGCTGCTCTTATTTCAAAGAGCTGCAACACTTTTTGGGCTCTATATTTTCCACATTGTACGGGCAGATCTTATGCTCCTGAGAACTCATAGGCCTCCCTTCCAAATCACCACAAGACGTTCTGCCTTGAACACCACTGGCTTGTCTGGGTCAGGAGTCATGCCTGTGACAGCTCTATCACTGCCTTCTGCAGCTCCCAGCTCCCCAGCACGCTCGTGCCTGCTTTGCAGATGGGGGCGGGTAGCCATATGCCAATGCAGTAGCAATTTCTGACTCACAGTCAAAAGCATCCAAAAAAAGTCGGTATGCAGGATTTTCTGCCATATGGAGCAATTGCTACTTGGATTTTTCCTCTAGCTGCGTCTCATTAAGCAAAAAGGAAAGAGAAAGGGGAGGACATTCTATTCTTCTTTACAAATCTTGTCCCAGAGGTCATCTTCATTTCAAAGACAGCGTCCATTCCTGGTACCTAGAAAACCAAGGCGGAGCAGAAGGAAGCTGTAAGAATACAGGTGATAGAGGACACTGTTCGGTCCAATTCAACAGGTTTTCTTTAAGTCTTTTACAGTCTGAATATGGCTTCTTTCAGGGAAGAGGGAGGAATATTCAGAGAGCTGGGACTGACTGGTTCTAGTGGGCTCAGGAAGACCACAGTAGAAAAAGAACCACACGTTCCATTAAGTCTGTAATGCTGCACTCCAGTAAAGCTATTTTATGACCTTCATACACTGCTGCCTTTTGAAGGTGTCACTCAGGGCACTTCCCTGGTCCTTGCAGTGTTTTGCTCAATATAGGAGGTTTGTTTAATCTGAGATTTCACAGAGATTTTTCCTTTATTTTTCATAGAAACCAATGTGGCATTAACATAATGCAGACATTTGTGCTTTAACTTTACAGAGCTGATTATCATGGCTAAGGTACAAACAGGAAAGCAATCAGATACAGGTTTAAAAGTTATAGAGACATAGAAACCTCAAAGCTGCTCTGCTTCTTTACGGTCTTCTTCAATGTATAAAGATGTTAGGAGGAAAAAGGCCCCTCCAAAGACACCCACAAAAGCGCAGACAATGAAGCTGTACTGCATGCTCCGGAAACTCCACAGGGATGAGCAATCATTCTTGGCCTGGATTGCGTTGGAGATCTGGGGGTGAACAAGGCTGACATTAGTCTGGGATAACACCATCATCTTCTCTTGGTTTAAACAGTGTGGTCCTTGAAAAGCATAAAACCAAGCAGCTAGGGATGACAAGTCTGATACCAGTGTGTGCAAACCCAGATCCCAATGTACATCACTGCTGTCTGGCTTCCGTTTGGTCAGGGAATCTCAGGTTCTTTTATCCTTCCAGTGCCTCTAGTCACAAGTGTAGGAAATACTGCAACCAGTGTTTATAATGTTTCATAAACACCAATTCATTTTAGTGTTTTCTAGCCCATCTCCAGATAACTAGCACAGGACAGACATTTGGCAATGACCCTTAGCATTTCTTTATGTAACTCATTAACTTTCTATCTCCCTAATCAGCATCAAAGGAGTAGAACCAGGGGGTTAGCGTAATACAGGCACAAGCAGCAACACTCATTATAAAGGGAAGAGCTGGAAATGACTGAGACAAGGGTGGAGTCTGCTTTTGAGCCAAAAGGCATTTGAGGAGTCATGGAGTGACATGATGAGGAACGGGGAAGAAAAAGCTACCAGGAACTGCTTTTTGCGCTGGCTGAAACATGAGGTTGTAAAAGCTATAAATGATACACATGGCCTTTGTTTTTGTAGACAGGAAGAAAAGCTGATTTCAAGCAGCTCAGTAACCCTTAAGCCTAAACAAAAGGATGAATGTGGAATGCAGTCATTTTTATTCCCACATTTGTTCTTGATGGCTCGAATATGCTATGAGACTTGAAATACACAAATATGAGACTCTTCAATCTTTGCTGGGTTTAGTATGATTATTGATGACAGCTTAGGTAGATAAGAGCAAGATCAACTGTAAATGGGTACCTAGGGACTACAGCAAGCATAACAGCCAAACTACACACCTAATGCATTTGATTTTAAAATGCTTAGTAAGAAAATTGCTGAAGCACAAAGGGAAGAAAAACAGCCTCTGAAAAAGACTATTCCCTGGCTCTCCAGGCAGTTTTCAAGCTAAAGGGTTAGCTGAAGCACCTTACTAAACAACAGCAAGACATGAATGCAGAAGGTTTGGCATTTAATCACCAGCTGACATGGCAGAAGCATTCCAGAAGACAGCGTTGTGCTCATTGCACAGGACCCCACTTGGACAGACAGCAGGTTTATTCCTGGGTTTCTTGCGTCAGTTCTTTGCAAAGTCGCAAGGTTGCCTGAGGTTAATCTCACCTGGATAAGTTTGGTTTTGTCTTCACACTGTTGGGGTAGCTACTTAAGGCAAGTGCATGCAAGGTGTGCATCAGAAGTGTTCTGCACAGTTATCAGGGCGTGCAGCAGCACGTGAGCAGCAAGCCCTGGTTTTGCCTGCTCCTCAAAGATGGCAAAGAGCGGTGGGCAGGAGATACAAACACTTTAATCTTTCAGGCAGAAGGAATAGATCAGTGCAGTAGTACTTCAGCTTTTAAGGTCCCTCCCATTTTTATGTATCATTTCAGCCATTTTTCATCACACAGGAATGTCAGGTTTTACATTCCCCTGTGCATACAGGCAAATCCATGCCAACAGTTTCCTAATACATATCAAAGAGCAAAGCGGCCTCTTCATTTGCCAAAAAGAAAGGGAGACAGAGGAGGAATCTCCTGGGGAGGGAGGGCTCTTCTCTGCCAGGCAGATTACACAGTTGAGACTCCATTTTTCACCCACCTGAGGTCAAGGGGGCTCTCCTGGCTGGCTGGAGCTGCAGCTCACTTAGGTATTTCTGTCTGGCCCTAACCCTAGCACTGTGAGCATGGGACAAAGAGCAAGTATTCCTGAGGTGAACTTGTTAAAACCAACTTCCATATTAAAAAAAACACCCTTTTAAACAACGATTCCCTCTCCCATGTCCAGTAAAGCAGAAAAATTCCAGTCAGTGGTCACTTGGCTGTTGTGTGCGGAGTGATGTGTCCTGAATCAAAAATAATGAAGGAAGGAAATGGCACTGACAGATCCCATCCACTGGAATGAAAACCAAAGGAGAAAACAGTTCTAGGATGCTTTGTCCAGAAGCCTCGTCTTTAGGTAAATGTAGGAAGGGCAGAGAAATCGGGTCTCAAGCAATATCAGAATCCAAGGTGAAGGTAATTTGAGACCAGAGCTTTGAAAGCCAAGTAGTATCAAAAGGCAACTGTTGCAGGCACTCTTGTTCTGATTTTCAAGAGACCACTGACCAATTGCAAGATTTGAAGCAAAACTCTTTGTCTTTATGGTATTTGTTTAATTCCATGAAACACCTCAAAAACTTAGCAGAAAGTGCTGAAATCCAAGTACAATACCCGTGACACTGTCTTGGCAAAAATAAATGTCTCCAAAGACAGTTGGGGTTCTACACACCATGTGGAACTACTCACACCTGTATGTATAGGATAATATTCTACATACCTGCAGTGTGCCAGGAACAGAAGTCTCACACAAGCAGAAATGTTTAGAGAAAATGTCTCTGTATTCTAGTATCAAGGCCATCAATTTGAGCAATATCTAGTTTTGGACCAGGAAGTGCCTGCAATTCTGTGTGCGTCTGTCTTCCAGTCTGTACACGTGTTACCGTAAGGAAAGCTCAATAAGCAGGGAATTCACTTACAATGCCAATGAGATATGGGCTGCCTGCATCTCCCAGCAAATGGCTCACCAAAATCTGCAGGGCAATAGCTGTAGACTGCCGTCTGGGTGTCACAACATACTGGAACAAAGCACAGCCCATGAGAGAAGGTGTGTTAACAAACGCCCAGCATCCTGGAGATGAATATATTTGGGTTTATATCTTTCATATTCAAACACTGTTTAAAAGTTCGGAGACAGAAAAGTTATTCTGAGCAAAAGAGATTGGGATGTTTTGTTAGGGAATAAAAATAACATGCAAGAAGGCAACACATGATGGGGAATGACAATAAAGCAGGAAAAACCTGCCTCCCTTTGTAGACTCGCAACAGCTTGTATGGGTTCACTTGGCCATGCAACTAACATGCCAGTAACCCTTGCAGCCATACTGATCTACTCATAAAGGGATTCAGCCTCTGAGAAGAACCTCTTATGGCACTGCATCAGCACGCATGGGGGAAATGGGGGTACCTGGAACCTGAAGGAGCTGCCACGGCTGTAAGGAATGTTGGCTGAGACCTTGCAGACCACATGAAGACAGAGGGAGGGGACCCAGCCTGGCAGACCAAGAGGCAGTTGATGGTGCTTTGATGACAGCAGTTTGCTGCTTGCCATCTGAGGTGTAGCCACTCTAGTAACAAGCCCTCAGACTGATCATGCTTTCCCCAAACCCCTAAAAGACAAGGTCCTGTAAACATGCTTCATAAGGACACTGCAAGTATAGCCTCCCAGTAAGCAAGGCAGCCACAGCACTTCACTGCATATTGTGTAGCTGCACAGCAGATGCCTTCATGTTTACAGCTGATTGAGAGGCAAAAAGGTTGCTATAAGCAATGCAGCCTGATGTATAGCCACAAGGGAAGAAAGTCCTTATCATTCAGTCAGCATCTTGCTTTGCCTTCAGCTCCACAGGTTGCAGGACAAATGAATTCTTAGCTACATTGTCTGGCTAGTAGTGCCACGTGGCAAGAAAGAAAACTCATTTTCATGTCAAAATAACATGTACAAACAAACCCAGGCACATTATCCGAAACCCTGCAAGCTCACATGGGAAAAAAGGCATAAAAGATATCTTTGTTGTTATCTACAGCACCCTTCAGTCAATGCAATAGCAGCAATACATAGAACCCACGGGCTTTCAGCAGGATGAAACACAACTCCCAAATAAGATTGCCACTGACTGAGTAGACAAATCCACAGATTCACCTGAGTTCCATCATTTTCCCAATAAAACACTTAGTAACATTTAGAATTCAAGAGATCCAACTCGAAACAAACCCCTGGCAGGGTCTGCTTCCAGTGGGAACACACCACTACAGAGCTCTGCTCCACCACCCCACTTGCTGCTATTTTACTTGTACTTAAACACAAAAGATTCTAAAATGAATTCAAATGAGGGCTGTTGGTCACTCAGGAGACAAGAACTTCCTCCTCCCTGGATTCACATGGATCCGGGGCATGGCAATGACATTCACAAATGATTTCTTGCAGGCTGCAGTATGATAAGGCATTCTCTAAGCAAGCTGAGACTCAAGTGACCGAAGCTCCCTGCAGACTTTGCAGTTGGGTTCAGCAAGGAACTGAAGGGGTGTGCTGACAGGAATCACCTGCCTTCCTTTCCCCATCACATATCAACAGTATCTAACGCAGGGATGTCGCCCTCCTCTTAAACAATGACAGAGGAGAGAAATAAAATGCAGATGTAAGAGTTTGAAGAAAAGTGAATTGAGAAATTTGAATGAGCGTTGTCTGAACTGAGGAAAGAAAGAGTGTTAATTGCAATAGTATTTGGATCTGTTGGGAAAATGCAGTGATTTCAAAACAAACTGAAACGGAAGCTCATAGAACATTTCAGTTTGGAGCAGTGGCTGTTTTTCTGCACCTGGTCACTGCTTCAAGAACAGCTTTCATCCCATAGGATAATTGTTTGTGACCATTCTTTGAGAGTCAAAGAAGAAACAAACCCCTCTTGCTGCTGGCTGGTGGCTTCAGCAGGCAACCAGTTCACCAATGCTGACTGCAACGTCCTTCACTGAAATTCCAGAGTGCAGGAAATGGACATGTAGAGAGCAGCACCGAAGAGTAACTTGAGAACATAATACAACGGGCAATATCAGCAGTGCTTTGCTGGAGAAACATGAAATTGTTTCATTCCTTCATCTCAACCAGAATGTAAGGAAAGGTTCTTCAAGCTACGAAGTGTGAGGCTAAACAGGCTCACAGCAAGAAGGCAAAGTCACGCCAGTGAAGGGAGAGCTCTGTAGTGCTTCACTAGTACCTTTTGTCACTAGACAGTGCTATATACTCTCACTTCCTTTTACATGGAAGATTGTAATAGATGTACGAGTTTCATCTGAAACAATACATCTCCTTTCTGGGCTTACAATGATCTTGGACTACAGCACCACCCCATCAATATTGTCACTGGAATCTTGGCACAACAGTTCATTGCACAGATCACATCCCTGACGTTAGCAGGACACCAGTACAGGTACACTTACTTAGAGTTTGTTCATTTCTTCCTAGAAGCTGGAGGTCCTGCTGCCCACCAAGATGCAGGGTTATGAGCAATATTATGTTATAAAAGCTGAAAACCCCAAAATATACGGAAATAGTTTCACAAGCACTTACCAACAGTATGTCTGTCACAACAGCCCAGTTTACAGACAAAAACAGCTCTCCAAATGCAATAAAGATCTGCAAAAAGAAGAAAGCAGTGACTATACACACTGCACTGACCTTCTTTGTTGTGAAGCAGAAAGCAGACTCACTGACTGTGCTTACCTGTGTATGAGCTGTTGTACATACCCACCTAATTCCATACGTCTCTGCCTATACTTACAAACACTAACTTCACCTTAAAATGGGAGAAGAGCCAGAGAAGTGTTCCTCACAAATCATAGCAGAAGAGCCAAAACAGAAAACATATAGCACCCTCCCAAATAAACTATATTGAAGTGCTAATCCAAGAAGAGGAAAGCAAAAGCCTACAAAGAGAAACATTCAGCAGAGGGTTTAAAAATGCTCAAAGATCTCCCTTTGGTTGGATTTCAAATGAAACCAATAGAACACCTCCATCCAGTGCAAGTACCCTTAAAGGCTCCTTCAGAGACAGAGCCTCAAAGCCCTGGTGCCCTGTGGGAATTCCCTAATTCAGCATAGATGGAGATCCAGCCATCAGGAAGAGGCAGGGCCCCCAGCAGTTCTTACAGCTGGGGTCGGAGAGAAGATTAACCCTTTCAGCCAGCCCTGGACTTCCACTTGAGCAGGCTGTGCAGACTAATCGATACCTGAGGAAAGCATCAAAGCTGCTCTATTAAGCTGGAACAGCTCTAGAAAGCACAATCTATTTAGTGACACAGGCCAGAGACAGATAGCACCTAGGAAATACAAGCCATTGTAACAGCAGATGCCAGCATCTCATTTGGAATGGTCTTGGTAAGATGTGGTATCTGGTTGATGAAAAAGCACAGTAGCAAACCATCAGATGCTTTCAGAGGGGTAGTTTACACACTTCTAAGAACCAGACCTGTTGTACAGCTTCCTGTGATACCCATTCCTCTCCTGTCTTTTTGCCTGTACTGTTCATGGGTTTTCTTCTCCAGACCAGTCTGGAGAAAAAGTTCCTTGAAGTCCAGAGATATTTAATATAGACCATTACCCAGATTTTCCTTCAAAATGCTTTACATAGATTTTCTAATGTGCAGCTGAACCTATTCCTCCATACGTGATTACTTTTCTTCAAGTTTTATAGGAAATATCACTGGTTTCATATACTCCATTACTGTCTTAGTTCTTGGATTCACACATTCCACTACCACAGCCTTTCGCACTGGTACAACTCTGGCAGACGCTGCCTTTGAAGAGACAGAAAGCAATCATTCTTCTGCAGTTCCATGACTGCTGCAATAACAGTCTAGAGACCACAGAAAGGATGCTGCATGCCAGCCTTAGCTGGAAAGCAAGTGACACACCTTTTATTAGGAAACTCTGGGCCAAACACAGAATGAAATGTGTCTGTTAGCATGGGTTGCAGTATCACACAGCTCTGCTTTCTGCCAAGCCACCTGGCAGTAAGGACCAACAATGTCAAATCCTTCAGCCACCAGAGAACATTTGCCCTTCATCCTCTCATTTCAAGCTCATATTCTCTGAACTACCTCAGAAGGCCCAAATTCATCAAGGACATTCCTTTCTTTTAGCCCTGCTTTACCCTGCCCTGTTTCCATACAAACATTCAATGTGCTATTGTTGAGCTCAGAATTACAGCCTGTGAAGTATCTGAAGCAGTACTCACAAGGGACTCTAGGCAAATGCAGCAGTGCAGCTGAATCCTGCTATACAGCAATAATGGCATGAACTTGTGTAAATTCTGACACTTGTGCCATAGCAAGAGATAGCGTGGCTCAAAGTGAAACAGGAAGGAGACAAAGGACAAAGAGATCTACTTAAATCCTGGCTGGCATTTCAGATGCAACAAGATGCAAATACAACAGGTAGAGCAGAAGGTTCTGAAGACTTCCAAATTGTCCCTAGACACCACCAACATAATAAATGACTACCAGCCCTCATACATCAAATGAGAGGTTGGCCTATCTCCCGTATAGTAATTTTGTGATATTTAGCTCTTTTATAAAGTGTTTCCAGTTTTCCTTTCTCTTTAAGCAGTTTTCCAAGTTATTTATTCTCCACAAGCCCCTAAGAACAAGAACATGTCATGCCCAGTGCAAGAAAAGAAAGTAAAATTCATCTTTGGGAAATAAGTTATGTTTTGAACCTAAAGTTTGAAGGAATAAGAATTAATGAAAAATTATCCATGATAAGAAGTGGGCCTCAGAGCCCAGACAGAATTGTGCTATTTATTCCATCCAGAACTGTGTTAACATTAGAGACACCACTTTGTTAGCTTGTCTTGTGAGGACTGCAGTTGTAGGGTCACCAGAAAAATTTAATGCAGACAGTTTTGGAAGGTAATAAATCATTCCACAGATTGTATCAAGGTATTATTTCTAAAACCAATATCAATTTTATACTTTCCCCTGCAGAAGAAAGGCAATAGGGTTGAAGAGCTGGTATTCTAAGCCATGCAACTGCAAAACAACTGCAATCAGTACAGAGGAGAGAGCTGTATGTTCTTTTCTCCAAAACAGTTGAAGGCACCCTGCAAGCACTGTGCTTGATTAGGGAGAAGGGCTGAGGATGGCAGGAAAACAACACAGGAATGCTCTATTTAAAGTCTATCTTTCTGTTCCTACCATCTCTCAATACTACTTATGCCATCTCAAGCTCTTATTTTAAATAAATATTGAAAAAATAATATAGAAAATGTTTCCATTAAAGCTATGCAATCATGTTTGTGGTGTGTCCATTCCAATCTGCTGATTGTACCTGCAAACGAGTGAAACCTATTTTACTGCTGTCACCTTCACTAGGATCCCCAACTTCAACAGACAACACTTGGCTGGTCTTGAAGTAGATACAACCACTCTCCACACAAGCTGGTCTCCAAAGGACACAACCAGAACAAATTTTAAGGTGATTTTCCTTGTACACGACAGTTTACATTCATACCTAAAGCTAATAAGAGGAGAATTAGATTGCAATCACTGCCAGTGTCAAACACACATTCTGCTTAAACAGTCACACACCTCAACAACAAAACAGGCAATCAGTATGGCTGGAGCATATGTGGTCAGCAATTCCTGTCTCCTCAAAAAGAACCACACCAGGCAGAAACAACAGCTGCAGAATGCCTCCTTCGAAGGCAAGCTGCAGGCCAAGTCTGCACCCTGATAGAGCATCACCATCAAAGATGAGTCTGTTTAACTTACCGCAACACCAAATACCCACCCAGTCCCAGGGTTCAGCCACAACTTCCCAAAGCACCTGCTGCACTGCAGAGAGCACATCTTTAATCTTGGTTTGGAGACTGGAACAGATTTAGACTGAGATAACACAGCCAGGTAATTTTACTCTTGTCTTTTCAAAGGTAGTCTTTAAAATCAGGAACTGGGTGTCCAGAAAGAGGAGAGGAATCTCATGGCCTTTCAGCCCATCCACACCAACAGAAATGCTGGAAGTCCTGCCATGTTTCCATGTCAACTTGAGAATTCTCATGCTTTGAAACACTTCTTCCAGCTTTGGCTATAGCTGATTAAACGTGCCTTGTTCCCTTTCATTATCCACTCAAGCCAGTGGAAAGCACCACACAGAACCCCCTGTAATTGCACGTATGCTTTTTTGCTTCAGCAGCTTCTGTGCAGTGAAGTGATGGAGACAGGTTTGCTAACATCAGTGTGCCTGAACACACACACTGACTGTGTGTGTGACTAGTGAGACTGAGTAGACAGGGACTGGGGAACCAGATTCCTGCTCGTGTCCTACACAAATGGAACATTTGTTTCAGTGGGACCTTCAGATTAGACACACCAGCTGGCATGCCACTCCAATTCTCACAGCAGCCTGACTAGTGTCAGGTCTTGTTTAGAAAGCAAGGAGAGACATGGCTGGCGCCAAAGAAGGCAACGGTTAAACAGCTGTAGTTGTAAAAGTGCTACAAGAATCAGGCATTTAGACTATGTACAACTTATTACCACTGCACATTGGTGACATTATGTCTCGCAACACCTGAATCAAGCACATCACACAAAAGACAAAATGGCAAAGCCTCTGGTTAAAAGACCAACTGGTCTGTCCATGGGTACAGACTTAAGGAAGCTCAGAATTGAGGAATTAATTGAATTAAGGAAGTTCAGACACGTCCCAGTTCAGAATTCCCTTCCAGATAACAGCCTGCTTGAAAACAGAATGCTGTTTACAAAGCGAGAACCATTTTAAACAAATTGCTTTTTATCACTCCTAATAAAAGGCATATTTTGGTAATTCAAACCCAATATATTGATTCCCTCATCCAACACTGGCAAATGCAACTGTTGTTCTCCAACTTTAAAGACAAAAAAAGAACTGAACAATGTACTCAGAGCAGGACTACATAGGAACCTGAGAAGCAGCAGAAAATGGCTAATTCTTTTGGCACTGGGATCTCCACTCTTGAATCTAACAGTAATCTTCAATTCCACATTTTGCTCTGTGCACACACAGTATCACAGTATGTTAGAGATTGGAAGGGACCTCGAAAGATCATCTAGTCCAATCCCCCTGCCGGAGCAGGAACACCTAGATAATGTTACACAGGAATGTGTCCAGGCGGGTTTTGAATGTCTCCAGGGAAGGAGACTCCACAACCTCCCTGGGCAGCCTGTTCCAGTGTTCCGTCACCCTCACTGAGAAGAAGTTTCTTCTCAAGTTTAAGTGGAACCTCTTGTGTTCCAGTTTGTACCCATTACCCCTTGTCCTATCATTGTTTGCCACTGAGTAGAGCCTGGCTCCATCCTCGTGACACTCCCCCTTTATATATTTATAGACACTTATAAGGTCACCCCTCAGACTCCGTCCAAACTATAGAGACCCAGCTCCCTCAGTCTTTCCTCATAAGGGAGATGCTCCACTCCCTTAATCATCTTTGTTGCCCTGCGCTGGACTCTCTCCAGCAGCTCCCTGTCCTTCTTGAACTGAGGGGCCCAGAACTGGACACAATATTCCAGATGGGGTCTCACCAGGGCAGAGTAGAGGGGAAGGAGGACCTCTCTCGACCTACTAACCACCGCCCTTCTAATACACCCCAGGATGCCATTGGCATCAGACATTCAAATCCATTCATTTTTTCCCTTGGTCTAAAGGTGTTTTACCACAGGAATACACATTCCTGAGCAGTCAAAAGGAAAACCTCTGTAAGTGTTATTCTTAGAAGCAAAAAACCCTGCAAAGTACCTTTTTGCAGGGAACTCTTGATTACTGTAATTAACTTTACCTGGATCACTCTTATTTATGTTAAACACGGTAATTGCAGCTATAGAGTCACAGGAAAAAACCTTGGAGTCTTTCCCTTGCTATTACAAGATTATAGTTAAAATAAGGTTTACATTCAGCTCCCCCTCACAGGGATCTTTTGGAACTATTTGTCATTCCCAGCAAGTTTTTGTTTTTCCCTTTACTGAGAAAAGAATTTAAGTGATTTATACTTCACTTTGCATTGCCAGAAGCTTGACTTTGAAGATCAGCTGGTGATTTAGGGCTTTGAAGGGGATGGCTAAATTATTCTTAGCAAGAACTGTGCGTACTGTACAGTCACAAGTACACTAGTCTTTAAGTATTCAGAGAGCAAAAATAAATAAGAATACTAAATCAGGCACATAGCATTAAAAATTAACATAAGACTGAGGCTTCCTCTAACTACATTTTGGATAAGGAACACTCTTGCTTCCTGCAGGTAACTACAGAGGCTTACTGCTCTCTTCTGTAGTGTGGGCAGACTGTAGGTCCTGAGGCCACTTTACAACGCTTTGCCTGCCCCCAGGATCCCAGAAGACATTTTGCTAATGACACATATACTGGCACTTACAAAAGTGGAGAGGATGCTCGTCTTGGCCGCCATCAGAGCTACGTGGAGACACAGAGCAGAAATGAACATGCTTGTGGCACAGATCAGAGGATCAGCTTTATTGTTTATCTTCCTCAGTCTTCTTGCTGCTTCTGCCCCAGCAATGACACCAAACATTCCTGTCCCAATGGTGATGCCTCCAAATATCAGGCTGGTGACAAAGCAAAGGATGCTGTTGAGCACAGTAAGACCATACTGTGGGGGAAAAGAATGGTGTTAGCTTAGACCTTTAGCTACAGAGGAATCTTTAAGGGAACTTGAATTTCATTCCATTTGATGAACTAACCCTCCCACTCCTTCTAAATGGATTTCATCCCAGGCCTCAGTTGAGGCTATGCCTCTGCAACTGAGGCTTTATCCTGTGAAGCAGATATTCTTCCAATTCTAGAGTAGCTGTTATGCACCTAGGCTCAAGGAGGACTCTTGGTATGACCTGGCTTGGATATCCAGTGATTTAGGAGATACAGTCATCTTGGTTACCCTGTGAACCAACCTACTCAGTCATCTCTAAAACACAGATGGAACAACTCTGTATCACAATCTGCTGTCTTGGAAGAGATCCTATCACGTGGAATTATATACATCTAAATTACAACCCTTTAGTTAGCACAGCTGAGATGAGTCACTTCACTTCTCTGACTATGGGAAACACCTACCACTTCCCAAAAGAGTTCAAAGAGTATGGAATAGTTAACTAGTGGGAGGTCCACCTAGTATTTTCTAGATGCGGAATTACAAATGTCACTCAGCTTTGTGTGTCTGCAAATGCAAATGTTCTCCAACAATGACAAGTTCATGTTTTAGAAGTATTTGTTTGAATAGCTTTGAAGATTCAGCTTCCAAAAGGACTTCCACAGATGCTTTTCTCTGTCCCAAATGAGATCCTAACAACAAAGCAAGTCTCTTTCATCAAGACCAGCAATGCCACTGATTGTTTCATGCATCGTAATTCTCCTGAGGCAAACGGGGACAGGAGAGCTGTGTTCTGAGTGCAAGTGCTTCTAAATGTTTCAGAGTGCTAAGCTTTCTCTGACTGCAAAGCAAAGTAACCAGCTAGGATGTGATCTATTCCTTTAAACTATATTGCATCTATTGTTTAATGTCTTTGTGGCTGATAAGGAAGAATTCAGTCATTCTATCAGAACCAAGAAGTACTGCTATACAAGATAACAAACTTTAAACGTATTTGTTCTTCAGGATTCTGATCCATCACTCACTACAGCTTGATAGTGAATATATAGATTGTCATGAGAACTTGTCTTAGAGGTTTGTCCAGGAGAGGCAAGTTCCAAGGTGACATTAGCTGACTGAAGCATTTGTGGCATTCTGTTTAGAATACTCATGTGTTATAAACTGCAGCTGAAATAAACCTACAGCTGGAAGAAAAGGGAACAGCCAAAACTAAATCCAAGCACAGCTCAATTGACAGGAAGTGGGAAGGTACAGAAGCCTAGTCCTGGGGAAAAGCTCCAATGGGATCCTTTAGGGTCTGAAAATGCTCACTTATCTGTCCGATCTCTTCAAACTCTCTGCACAAAGACCTGAATAAAAACTTCCTACTGCCTATTTATCCACCTTGAAGGGATTGAGACACGAGTCAGCCCTGGTGCCATCCGCATTTGTGTTTCTGGGGAGCCTAAGTGACCCAGCCCTGATCCTTAAACAAAGCTGCAACTGCTGAAGAGCCAGAGGGGAAAACGTACTTAAAAGTATCCCTGAGCAGTCTGGGACTGCACAGCTCAGTTCATCCAGCACCATGAGCTGCAGGTCTGACATGGTTGTTTATGCTGCGTTTCTTTACATCCCCCTGGAATATCAGCCTAAAACCAGCTTTATGCTGCTTCTGGCACTAGTTTATGCCAAGGTTATTTTTAAAGCATCCTGAAAGAAGCAGTACATGAGGTTAAACTGTCAGGTGCCCGTGAAGACCATGTCTGCTTTAGCAACACTATGTGGAATAATAATTCAGAAGGTGGATTAGAAAACAAAACATAGACTAACAACTTCAGCTTAGCAAAGGAAGCATTTAAACTGTATCTGTTAACAGAAACAGCCAAACAGATTAAACTGTTCAGCTTCCCTTCTCTGCCTACCCTGAGTCAGACTCCCGAGTTCACTCCCTGCCTCAGCATTATTCACTATGAAGTAACATGCCAATGGTGGCATCTGTGCAAGGATGATTACATTCTCATTGAAGGAGCTGTGGATGACTGTTCAATCCATCTGGTTACACTGCAAGTCAGAAACCACTTTAGAGTTGAGTCGGTTATTCCATTGTAGAAAAGCAAAAGAACACCATTCCCACAGGACACACTCAAGGTATGATTACTGCTTTTCTCTTTAATTGTCTTTACCTGGAAAGACAATGTAGTTAGCTCTTGGAAATCCATTATGAAGGCAGAGACAGATTAGGGATACCACCAGGAGAAAGGTATGGAGGCCACTGGTAGGAAGGCAGCACAGAGAAGTGTCCCAGTGCTCACTATTATTGAGGGTAGCCATGAAGACTCAAGAGGAAGACCAAATACATTTTTCTACTGTGGATAACACATTGCAAGGAAAAAAATTCTCATCCTAGCTGAGGAAAAGGAATCTCCAAAAAAATGTGTTATGATCACTTTAAAGTCCTCTCCTGTTGTGAATTCCCCTTGCCCATTGAACTTGATACTTATTCATGAATCTTCCTTGATCTGTGAGCAGAGCTCTGCTGGCAGTTACTCACAAGACCATATTATCCTGTTTTGATGTAGCGATGTGATACTGCATCAAATTCATCAAGCTGCTTTATGCTGGGAGTCACAATGACTGTGGCCAACACAGCAGGAGTTGCAAACACACACTAACAAGAACATAATAGGAAAGTTACCAAAACACAGAACCTAAGCACAGTTAAATGGGTGTTTAAGTAGCTTGCGGTGCACAGTCCACTGTCACCTGAAGTCTCCTTGCTAGAGCTACCCTTATTTTCACACGAGTTCCTGTTACTGCTTCTTTCTACTTTATTAAATAGGGCTGACAGCATCTTTCCACTTAATTGAGTGATTGTAAACAAGCAAACAGAGTGTCTCAGCATCCCTGAAAGGTAGTACAACATTCATACCCAAGTGCCTTCACAAGAAGTGTTCACAGTCACATCCTGCCTTCTGTCTTTAAATAAACTGGGATTTAGCCCTGTGCAGTGTTCCCAAGTGTGTTTCCACAGCTGTGTGCACCTCACCTGTTAGATGAATTGCATGTCTCTTGGAGGCACGGTGACACAGTGCCCTGGACAAGCTGAGCCCTGTAAAGAAACAGCGGTACCCACATTCCCAGTGCTCCAGTAACAAAGGCCATGGCAGTCAGACCCAGTGAGGACCAGACAAAACTCCAGCTGAAAGGCAAAGAACAAAATGAGAGATACTAGAAATAACTGGGTGTGAGGAATAGGGACAGCCTAACTCATTTAGACTTCTTATAATCAAAATGCACTCCCTTGAAGATATGAACTTTGATGACGCTTTATCTATGAACAGGAAAATCCTAATTAGAGTGAGGAATATGACCCACTGATTTCATGTTAAATACCATGCAGATTTCATTGCCAACTTTTGCTAAAAGAATTGCTGGGAAATTTTGGATAGCAGAACTGCAGCAGCTGGGAGCGGGCAAGAATGTAGCTGCTTAGTAGCTAAATGGAAGTGTTCTATGTGCAGGTCTAAATGCCTCAGGATGGTTTTGTTTGTGTAACTGGTACAAATGAGAATAACATCTGGGTTTTCCAAACTGTTCAGATGCAGCAGCTGAAGCACTCCTTAACTCTGCTCCAGTCTGAAACCAGACTCTCAGTCTGCACAGTGACTTAGCAGACAAAAGTTCTCCTTTTTCAAAACTGCCCAAATCTTGCCTCTTTCCTGCCCTGCTCTAGAAGACAACTAACTTTTTACTGGCCTCTTTCTGCTCAGTCCTTTAGGAGAAAGTCCCCTTTGAGGTCAGTGGGCAAGTATGAAATCTTAAAACTAAGGTGCTGCAAATCACCAAGTGACCACCAAACTGATGGATTCATTAAGATGTGAACCTAATTCTTCATCTTCTTGACATAAAGGGCTCTTGGACTTGATTTGAAGTGGAACCATCTGGATTTTGGCAGCATGTCCTAATGCTTTGGAAATCCTTCACTAAAGAAAAACTGAAATCTGTTTTTACTGTATTGCTGGAGGTTATAAGCAACATCCTTGGGGAAGAGCAACTTTGACAGTAGTCTCGTTGTTGAACTGTCAGAAGCGTTCATTTATGATTCAGGAAACTTCATTTTTTACTCACTTCAGCCTTTACTGCCTACAGATTGTGATGTGACTGCATCTCTGGTGTACTTCTGGCTGCACACAGGATGCAGATCGAGTTGTCAATTAGAATCCCCTAAGGAACACTCCGCAGACAGCCAAGGTCCCAGCAAAGCAAGTGTTTAAACCAAAAGCGTTCGAAGGGGAGCCCGGGGAGCAGCCTGCGGGCACCGGCAGCGCAGAGCCGGGTCTGGCGCAGCTGCACAGCGGCACCTGCTGTTCCCAAACCGGATCCAGCTCTCCCTGCCCGGCCCCGGCCACGGCTTTCCCGGACTGCAGGGTAACGGGGGAGGGAAACCTGCTGCAGTCTGTACTCGACTTTGTCCTGCAGGGCAGCTGATGTTGACTTTGATTTTTGTGTGGTTGAAAGGAAGAGGCCATCTGCCAACCACAGGTTAGCTGCTCAAAACACACATACAACCGCTCCATAAACCGGATCAGAGTCCTATAAAGCCTGAGCTTATTCATCAGAGGCACAGCGGGCTCACAAATACCGTAGAAAGACTGCCTGAAGCATGCTGATCCAACCTTCCTCGGGCACTAAGTATGGCACATAGAGTCACATGGCAAATGGTGCACTTTTACCAGTCTAGCTTACCCTAATGTGTTAAAGGAAGAGGGAAGGGGAAACTTAGTAGAAAGTAAAGCTGGATTTAAACAGGAGCACACTCCCATCATAACTCTGCCTCCTTCCCCCTCCAAAGAGGAAAACAGCAGACACGAAAAATGTTGATCTCCTGTGTAGCATTCCTGTAAAAGAGTGGATGCTGTTTCAAGCATCTTGTACACAACATGCGACACAAAGGAGCTGAGTGGGATTTGATGACCATATTTCTAATAAGGGAATGGTCATTCTTCAATGGAGAGGACGTTTGTTACTAAAATCACTTACTTCTTGGCAAGTGAGACGACATCCTGACACCAAGTAGTCTTGGCAGTTCTGCGTACTCCTGGCTCCTCAGCTGCTACTCGTATTGTGCCAGAGATGCTCAGTGCTCTGTGTGCTGCTGTCCTTCTCTGGGTCCTGTGAGGGACCAGCAGAATCAGAAGAACAAGCGCTAGACCTCCCATGCAAGGAGTTATCTGTAGACACAAGCAAGGAGAAAAACATGTGAACAAAGAAAACTGTACTGTAATATTCCAGCCACAAGTGCAAGAATCACCATCAGCATTATCTGCATAACTTCAGACTGTTATTCCAGAAAACATTCTTCCCCCTTCATCATGTATCTGCTAATTCATTTTATAGATAACTTTGGAGGATCTGACAGAGTACTTCCAAAGCACTAGGTGTTCTCCATGGAGAAACATCATGATGACATGACAAGAACAGAAGGTACTTTCACATTCCTCTATTTGAGGAGGTCTTGATGCACTGACAGCCATTCCAAGTGTGTCCTCAGGTAAGAGGCACATCAGCACCTGCCCTGGCTGCTGTACAATTTAACCTACGCCTCCTCCATTCTGCAAAAACTAGGCTAAAATTATTCCTTCGTCCTGCAGCCACAAGGAAAAACACCAAATTCATGACAGAACTCTGAAACACCGAGTTCGTGACCAGTCAGACAGTAGAGGATCCTTCCACTCTTCACCTCTAACATGATGAACATAAGTAATCCCAACCCCAGGGATGATTCTGATTTTACAGTGAATGGCTCAGCCCCACAAGTGACAATGAGTAACTCACCCTGAAGGCCCAGTGCCAGTCACCAGTGAGACTTGCCATGCCAGCTGCTAGGACATAGCCAAGGCCACTGTAAGCAACAAAAAGGAATCAATCATCAGTAGGCACCAAGGAATTCTTGCTGGCTGAAATGACGTCTTGCCAGCTAAGGAGAGCACAGAGAAGCAGTCTCTGAGAGTTTTCAGAACAGATAAACAGAAACAACTAATGGTCTATGGTCTTCAAGGCCAGGTTGGAAGAACCTTGGGTGGCATGGTTTAGTGTGAGGTGTGGGGGTGGAACTAGATGATCTTAAGGTCCTTTCCAACCCTAACTATTCTATGATTCTATGCCAGCCAGTATTAAAAAGGGAGTTTAACCTTCTCAAAGCGACCTGAGCTGGTGGCAGCAGTGTCCCAGGTTCCCCTTGGAATAAATATTCTGTAGAATGACACTGCAAACCCAGATCAGATAACCCATAAAGCAGTTCATTATTGGCTCTTTTCTGTGCTAGCCACATGAATAAAACCCTACAGGAATTCCTTTCATTTTAATCTGCCTTCTGGGCTCAGCCTTGGCTGCCTGCTTTAATAAAGAGTATGTGTCCAAGGCATAGAAAAACCCTTCTCCTCTTCATCAGACACTGTCAGTTTAACTAAAAGAGGAGATGGAAGGGCCAATTCTGCCTTGGGAGGATTTAATGGGGGGTTCTTGACAAATTTGTCAAGTAAACAAATATCTGAAAGCTTTTGTCTTCCAAAAGCCAGAAATAAATTACCTACCCCCAGGCACACGTTTCTTTTAGAGCTGATTCAATAGTTTATTCAAAGCCCACAGGTTTTCAGAGTTCAGATTCTCTCTAAAAAATGTTGGGGGGAAAAAAGCTGATTTTTCTTCAAGGTAAACACAGAAATAAGCCTAACCAGCTCTATTTCAACATGCTAAGCAAGGGACAAATCCTTTTGCAAGAGCCAATCCAGATATACATCAAAATAGATCTAATCAAGGCTCAAGGCATATTGAATGGCTGGCGTGGTCAGACAGAATTTCAAAGGTTAGTTACCAGCAAGAAAACCAACCTTCCCACTGGAATGAAGAGGTAGAAGATAGACAGCATTGTGGTCCTTTTTCCTTCCTCAAACAGGTCTGCAATGATGGTAGGTGCTATTGTGGAATAACTGGCCGTGCCAATGCCAACTAGTCCTCGTGAAAGAAAGAATATCCAGTAATACTGCAGGGAAAAAGACACATCACAGTCCAAAAAATGCCCATGCAAGAAAGAACATTTGCTGTTAGAGAGATGCAATTTAGTGAATCAAATGTATCGGAAGAAATAATAATTAACTGCCTTTTGGATATCTGCATTCCCTCCACTCACACCTGCTTCCCACAGCACTGGGACAGCATCCCACTGCTGTCCTTTCTCTTTTCTACACAGTACTGATTCCTTAGAGGGACACCCAGAAGGAATGACAGGATATGGTCAATAGAACACAAGGCTGATGAACAAGCTGCTACACTATAAGGTCATGGTCAACAAAACATTCAGGACATAACTAAGATCCCATTAACTGCAACAGTAATGGGTGGGTTCTTCGTTGCCCAGGCTGCACTCCAGCATCCCATTAAGCTTTCCTGCACGAAGTCCATCTAGTTCAGGCTTGGGGAGCAAGTGCTCATTGACAGCTTTTCCAAATGCGATTAGGTAAAGACTATTGACTCCTGCAGGACATACACAGATTATTTTCATAGGACTCTAAAAAAGCAACTTACCAATTCACTGATGAATGAACTGCTTAATGTGACACCAGACCAGAAGAAAATACCAGCTCCGAGGATGATTTTCCTATTGTACCGGTCACCAAGGTACCCAAAGACAGGGGCAGCCAGCATGTAACACAGGATGAAGACTGGAAATCCAAGAAAGATCAAAGACAACACAGGTCAAATTATCTTCCTTGTATGTACTCCTCACCCCTCAGACAAACTCAGGTTATTTTGGGGGCAGAAGTTAAAGGCTCAGTTTTTGAACAAGTATGTAGATCGATATTTAGAAAAAGATGGATGTAGATTACAATATATATATACACACACAAAAATGAAACATATGGGAATTGCTCGAGTTCTGTATTTCTTGAGAAATTTCTTCATCTTTAATGATTCACATAGTGTGGGATTCCTGAAGTACGCAACTCCAGTCTTCCCTGAACCAAAGACATTCGGGTTTGCATTATAGTCAGCCTACCCACAAGTGGAAGCAAGCAACACCACACACAAGTAGGAACTGGAAGAAATAAGTAGATTGTGTTTCAGGAACAGGCCACACAGATGCAAGGCAAAGCAAACTATCCAAACTGAAGAGATTTTATTACCTGTTTGCAGCAGACCTGTATCCCCATCACTGAGCTTGAAGTATTTCTGTATGTCTAACAGGATCCCTGCAACAGAGTCAAAGACTGAATGATCCTGCTCATTCCTTGTAATTCCCTTCATTTGCCAACTCAAAGCTCTATTTCAAGAACAGGGCTTGCAAGAGCTGCTGCACATAGATGTAAACCATGAGCACAGATACACAGAGAGTTACAAATCCTTACCACTAGAGATAAAAGTCATGATCTTCCACTACGGAGGTCTTACAAGAGTCAGTTTAGCCACTGTTTCAATTACAACTGTTCTGTTCCTTTTGTACCATGAGTACATAAGCACAGAAACAACTTCCAGTTCAAAGCTTAATGGACACAAGAGGAACAAAACAGTAGCAAAGTTTTGCAGCCAGCTATCGTCATACAGCTAATCCTAAAGCATTATTATTGACCTTCAAATGTTAAGATGAATTGAAAATCCTTCTGTTAAGAATACCTGTTAATATTTTCAGTATATACAGTATTCAAATTGGTGCTTGTTGGATTTTTCAGGATTCAAATGGCTACAGCCTTCATTAGCCAAGAGTGGCCGAATCAGCCCATAGCCAGGGAAATACTACTGGAATTCACACTGTGGTCCCAGTTGCGTAATTCTGTTCGTTTTTCCCTGACAATTTTGCAGAGATCAGATGAGATATAGATAACTGGATTTACACAGTAACATTTAGTGGTGACAATGACAGAGAAACATCACTAAGAGCAGTCATTTCTATTGGTGATAAAAGGCTGACAGAAATTCCATCTTGATTTCTAATCATTCAATAGCTGTGGAAAAAGGTTGGAAGAGATGTCCAAAGCCAGACGTCTCTCAGAAGAGAGTCACACAAGCAACAAACTGATGGAAGATCCATGGGTCTGGCACTAGTGGATGCATGAATGCTGTGAGACAAAACAGTCATTTTCATCCCTACATCATGGCAAGGGTGCAGATCTACCACCTCCCCTAGCTTCCATGTCTACACTATAATCCTAAAAACAAAACAGCAGAAGAAACTGCTGTAAATAAGCAGAGTTCTACTCTGATATTGAACAATATAATGTAAAAAAGAGACTTGTCATGCAACTTCAGTTTTGCCAAAAATAGTCAAAATCAAAACTTCTTAAAAGGATGAAGCCACTCCTGAAGGAAACGAGTTGTGTATAAATTGTCTGCTTTGCTCCCTATAGCTGATCTGCACACAGCAGAGCGCAGGGGGGTGTCAGCAGGAGGTCCCTACTCTGTTCCTACATGGTTCCTGCACTCAACTCCCCAAGTAGCTTGTTTTCTGTGTGAAGACTGATGCAAACTGTGTCAAAGCCTGTGAGCAAAACTGCCCGGAAACCACAAGTTCGTAACTGCCACCAGTTTACTCTACAACAAATACTCAAGCCTCTCCCTCACTTCCCTGTTCACTTCCATTTAACAGTGTGCTCATCCATATGGACAGCCAAGGCTTCAGCACTACCCCACCCTGCTCTGGGGTGAGGTCCCTGTCCCTGAAGGTACCTCACTCAAGGAACTGAGCATATCAACATAGGCACTTCACAAACCTTCTTGAGAACTCTAAGCTCTTAGCATGTACAGGAACTAAAGAATACTCCAAAGCTTGGAATGAGCCACACGACTGCTTGCATTTAAGACTTCCTCCCAGGAAGCCTGTTGTTGCTTGAAGGTATTTTCATCCTCTCCTGTCCCTTACCCTTCACAAAGTCCCTTGACAACAGAACTCCTACACTGAAGTTTCTCACTAACAGTCCTGTAGCATCATTCAGCATGGACTCCTACTTGTTTCCTTCCCTCTTACATGTGTGGTTAAGAAGCATTCAAAAGAAAATAAGCTTAAACTCCTAAACCCACCGGCCTCTCAAT